AAACCCCTGCCCACTGCACCCCCCTCCTCCATCCCTATGCCCGGTGACTCCCACAACCACAGGGGTCCTTCGCCTTATCTTTGCGGCCCCTCAGGACCCTCAGGGCTCCCCACCACATGGCCCCACTCCCGTGGCCATCGTCCTAACCGCTCGCCCTCCCCGGAGCCCCGGCTGCGGCGCTTCCCACCCCTCCTCCTGCCCAGCATCCGCCCCGCAGAGCCCAACACGGCTCAGGACACCAGGGGCTCCCTGACCTCAGAGGTAACCCCGCCTCCCCGTGACACACGGGGCAGGCAGCAACCTCGATGCCTCGCGGACACCTTCTGCGTGAAAAGCACAGGAACTCTTCCTCGTCACAGAGCCCGGCACGGCCAGGCTGTGTGGGTGTCACAGGACCCCGTGCTGTGGAGCGACCCCGAGTGTCCCCAAGGGCCACAGGGCTCCGAGCAGACTCGCGCGCTCTCCGTTCGCTAGCAGGGACTGGCCAAGCGTGGCTTCTACGTTTTAAACAACTTTAACAAGAACCAACAGGAAAATGGTATTTTCGGGATAGGCAGTTCACGCTTCCGTGTTCACACAATAAAGTTTTATTAGAACGCAGCCACGCCTACTCAGTGACCTGTGGCGCCTGACGGATCGCCTTTGCCCTCTCAGAGGCTGTCTGCCCCACGAAGCCGAAAAAAACTACTAGTGTTCGGGCAACAGTCCGCAGACGCTGGGCTATAAGCTGGGGCGCTGAGGGGTAGCCCCCCCTCCCTCCGATGGGGGCGCCCTGCCCCCCCATCTTCTCTGCCTGTGTACCTGGGGCCTGTCTGCACCAAACATCCCTTGTTTTTTTTTTTTATTTAAGTGTTTTTTAAAAACTTATTTATTTTGAGAAAGAGGGAGCAGGTGGGGGAGAGGCAAAGAGAGAGAGTATCCCCAGCAGACCCCTCGCTGTCCACGCAGAGCTCCACACGGGGCTCACACCCACCAAGCGGGAGATCATGCCCTGGGCCGGAACCGAGAGCCGCTCGCTTAACCGACTGCGCCCCCCCCAGGGCCCCCCAACAATCCATCCTTTCATACCTGCTGTTTTGGTCACTTCAAATTCCTCGTTTTTCAGGGGGACGTCGCTTTCTCTTTCAAACGCAGCTTTGGACTGAAAAAGAACCCGTGGAAGCTTTTCTAATCAGGAAAGAACACGATCCGGTCTGCTTCCCAGAGCAGCACAGGCTAAAGCCACCTGCTTTTACCAAAGGGGCGCCTGACGCTTTTCTAAGCACGAAACAAAATCCAGAGGAGCCGGTGGTTAATCCACTTAAGAGATTGTCAACCGGCTTAAAACGTCACGCCTTTGCTGCAGATCCTCGGAGGAAGGTTATTCCCTTCGTTTTTTTTCCTTCAGTTAACGTATGGAAGGGACACAAACACCGCAGCCTCTCGACTGTAATTTTTAAACGTCAGACTTGTGTCTCAAGTCAGCTAAACAAGAGTTTTAAAGGAAGACAGGACCCCAGAGAGCAATTCGATCAGCGGCGTGTCTGTTTGCCCCAGTTCTGCGATCAGGCCCTCAAGAGTGGGAAGGTATTTTGTCGGGGTGATCAAAGTCCATCAGGAGCCGACTTTAAGAAAAGGAGATTATCCTCAATGACCCCGGGTGGGCCTTCAGAGCAGGACCGAGGTCCC